CCATTTAATTTAAATTTAATTTAAATAAACTTTTAAATAAACTTTTAAATTAATTTTAAATTAACTTTTAAATCAACTTCACATTTGCAGCTTCTCGAGTGCATGCAAAGCCCGGCTAAGACATAAAAGGCACACAAGTGGAGGCAACTTGCAAATATAAACTGGACTTGGACTTCAACTAACAACAACGCATGCATGCAACTGCATGCATGCATGCATGCAAGTGCATGCATGCGTGTAAGTGCATGCATGCATGCAAGTGCATGCACGCAACTGCATGCATGCAAGTGCATGCAAGTGCATGCATGCAAGTGCATGCAAGTGCATGCATGCAAGTGCATGCAAGTGCATGCATGCATGCATGCAAGTGCATGCAAGTGCATGCAAGTGCATGCATGCAAATGCACAATTGATTGTGGATTCCTTCCGCGCCAGCCCAGCAGTTGTGGAGTTGCACAGATAAGCAAAATGGACTTTAATTGGAGAAATAAATGCAAAAAACGAAACTTTTGCAAAATGGAACAAATACAAATTCCCAGTGGAGAAAGTTCAAAAATCCGCACTTGTTCGCTACGATGCAAGCATGCATGCATGCAAGCATGCATGCATGCAAGCATGCATGAATTTAAATGCAATTTAAACGCAATTTAAACGCAATTTAAACGCAATTTAAATGCAATTTAAATGAATGCAATTTAAGTGCAATTTAAATGCAATTTAAGTGCAATTTAAGTGCAATTTAAATGCAATTTAAATGCAATTTAAACGCAATTTAAATGCAATTTAAATGCATGCAATTTAAATGCAATTTAAATGCAGTTTAATGCAATTTAAATGCAATTAAAATGCATGCAATTTAAATGCAATTTAAATGCAATTTAAATGCAATTTAAATGCAATTAAATGCAACTTATGCAGTTTTAAACCCACAAGTTCCCTTTTAAAGCTGCTTTCCCCGAAGTTCAAGTTGGAGTTGCACGAAAGCCAGAACTGCATGCAGAAGCCATCTTTTTTGTTCGTTTTTTTTGCTTTCTTCTCTATTTACCATCCTTCAACTGAATATAATTTAATTGAATTTAATTTCTTTTTATTTATTTATTTATTTATTTAATTAAGTTGCTTTTCTCTGCACGACGAGGAAGAAGTCGAGGGGCTCGAACTTGTGTCCGTCTCCTTTGTAGAATTTGTTTTGAAACTCCACCCACTGCAGCCGCAGCGCATGCAGCGCGACTTCGAGCAAATCCATGCAAAGAATGACTCCGAAGGTGATGCATGCAAAGACCGCAAAAGCAGCAAAAAGAGCAGCAGCAGCAGCAGCAGCAGCAGCATCTTCTGCTGCTGTCAAGGCCCGCACAACAGTCTGCGAGTAAAAGACCAGCGCCAGCTGCTGGTGGGCCAGCGACAGCGCCCACAGCCGCAAGTAAGAAGCTGTGTTCGAAACTGTTCCCAAGACAAACTCAATCGTTTCAATCATTTGAAATATGAACAAGTCCCCCGCTCCCGCCGCTTCCTCCTGCTGCTGCTGCTGCTGCTGCTGCTGCTGCTGCTGCTGCTGCTGGGGGGGGCGCGCGGCGCCGCCCGCTGCGGGCGCTTCCCCCGCTGCTGCTGCTGCTGCTGCTGCTGCTGCGTCGCCGTTTTCGGCGGCGTCGAGGGCGGCGTGGCCCGCGGCGGGGGCTTGCTGCTGCTGCTGCTGCTGCTGCTGCTGCTGCTTGTCTGCTGCTGCTGCCGCGCGTTTGCTGCGGAGGAGCAGCACGGCGGGCTTGACGAGGAGCATGACGGGGATGGTGAGCAGCAGCAGCAGCAGCAGCACGCGCTCGACAGTCTGCTGGTGCTGGTAGAGCTGGTCCTCAGCAGCAACTTCCCCCATCATGCACATGTTGATGATGCTGCTGATCAAGTTGGGTTTGTTGCTGCTGCGCGGAGAGACCCACTTGAGGACCACCAGGAAGTTCAAGTAGCCTATCAGCAGCAGCAGGAACAGCAGCTGCGGCACGAACTCGCAGCAGAAGCTCAAAACTTCGCCGAAAAACCAAAAGTTCAAACCTTTCAACAAAACGCCAACTCCCATGTGCACAACAGCAATGGCAATTGAGAGCTTCATCTTCACCGAGTTCACCATCAGCAGCTCGTTGCTCGCCCCCTTCCACGCAGGGTCTATCCCAAACGGGTACGGGTCTTCCCCCTGCAGCAGCAGCAGCAGCAGCAGCAGCAGCAGCAGCAGCAGCAAAGTCAGCAGCAGCAGCAGCAGAACCTCAACCACCGCAGCAACAGCAGCAGCACCTCAACCACCGCAGCAACAGCAGCAGCACCTCAACCACCGCAGCAACAGCAGCAGCTGCTGCTGCACCTCAACCACCGCAGCAGCACTGCAGCAGCAGCAGCAGCAGCAGCTCACGAGTTGCCTGAGGCGGATGGCGCCGTTGAGAGTCTCGTGGCCGTCTTCAGTCCAGTGCGAGCCGAAGAGGTCCACCCCGAGGGCAAAAAGGTCATTATAAAGAAAGCCGGCGTATACAGCAAAGAGGCCCATGAGGGCCAGCAGGTAGCGGTAGGGCAGCAGCGCAGCAAGCAGCCCGCGCTGCTGCTGCAGCTGCTGCTGCCGCAGCAGCAAAAACAGCCCCAGCAGCAGCACGATCGCCCCGTGCCCGATGTCGCCGTACATCACTCCGAACAAAAACGGAAAAGTTATCGAAGTCAAAAACGCCGGGTTCGCTTCCTGGTAACGCGGCACGCCGTACGTGTCCACCTGCGCGCACACCCCTGCTGCTGCTGCTGCTGCTGCTGCTGCTGCTGCTGCTGCTGCTGGGGGAGGGGGGGAGGGCGTTCGCGCGGCTGCTGCAGCTGCTTTCTAGCGGGCTCGAGATTTGTGGGCCGCAGCGGCAGCAGCAGCACAGCAGCAGCAGCGCCGATGAGCGGCCGCGGCCAGGCAATGCGCAGCAGCAGCAGCAGCAGCAAGAGAAGCAGCAGCAGCAAGAGAAGCAGCAGCAGCACAGCACAACAGAAACAGCAACAGCACAGAGACCACGAGCAGCAGCAGAAAAACCACCCGCAGAGAAACCAGCAGCAGCAACACCACCAAACCCAGAAGCAGCAGCAGCACGAAAACCAACAGCAGCAGCAGCAGCAGCAGCAGCAGCAGCAGCAAACTGACGAGCATTTGGCTGGGGTCAGTGAACTCCGTGGACTTGAAGTAAGTCGGAGGCATTGCTGTGGAGTCTTTTTCAGTCAACAAAAAAGCCGAACCCTAATAAGAATAAAAAATAAATAAAAAATAAATAAACAATAAATAAATAAATAAATAAATAAATAAATAAAATTAATTTAAAAAAGATGCAAGTTTTAATTGGAATTAAAATGAATGAAGGAAAAAATTGACAAAAAACTTCAAAAGATGAAACGCCATTTACTCTTTAGAAGATAACCACTTAATTACTCCAAAGAATTCAACACAGACAATTCTAGCTAGCTAGCTAGCTAGCTAGTGAACTAGCTAGCTAGTGAACTAGCTGCCCAGCAAGCTAGCTAGCTAGCCGTGGGTCTACTCAGCCAGCTAGCTGCTCGGCTCGGTGGCCACCTAGCTAGCTGCTTGGCTGGCTAGCTAGCTAGCTGCTTGGCTAGCTAGCTAGCTGGCCGTTTGGCTTGCTAGCTAGCTGGCCGTTTGGCTAGCTAGCTAGCTGGCTGCTTGGCTAGCTAGCTGACTGGCTGCTTGGTTAGCTAGCCAGTCCACAGCTAGCCAGCCAACGACCCCCCGAACTCACCAACGAGCAAAACCCAAACAAATAAACAAATAAAATAAACAAACAAACAAATAAACAAAAAGTGGAATAAAATAAATACAAAAAAGTAAAAAGTAAACAGACAGACAAATAAATAAAATATATAAATAAATAAACAACTAAATAAATAATAAATAAACAGATAAATAAACAAATAAACAATAAATAAATAACAAACAAATAATACATAAATGAATAAATAATAAATAATAAATAAATAAATAGATAATAAATAAATAAAAAACATATAAATAAATAAACGGACCTGCTCGTCGCCAGTGACTTCCATGGAGCGCAAAATGCTTCGAACTTTTTCTTCATTTTTTTTCGGAATCCAACAAGAACACCGCAGCGTCATATCTCTCCCTGAAGACAAATAAATAAATAAATAAATAAATAAATTAATTAATTAATTAATTTAATTTAATTTAATTAATTAGTTCATTCATTTGGTAGTCGAGGCGCTGTTTGATGTTTGATGTACGGCAGAAGTCCACGGCTCAGTTACACCCCAGGACTCCGCAGCTAGCTAGCTAGCTAGCTAGCTAGCTAGCTAGCTGAATGGCTAGCTAGCTACTAGCTAGCTAGCTAGCTATTAAGCTATTTAGCTGGCTAGTTGCCTAGCCAGCTAGCTATTTGCCTGGCCAGCCAGCTCGACAGCTAGCCAGGTAGCTAGCTACCAAAGCCGGCTGGCCAGCTGGCTAGCCAGCTAGTTCTTCAGCTAGCTAGCTAGCCAGCAATTCGCACAGCCGAACAGCTAGCTAGCTGGCTAGCTACTGGCTAGGCAGGGCGGCTTGCCTTCGAAGCAGTTGAGGGCGGCGTAAATGGCCTTTTCCTTCTGACAGAACATGCGCCACTCCTCAATCAACGAAGAGCTGCCCTCTCTGGGAACGTCCAGCAAAGTGGAAATCTCCCCCAAAAAGTAATGCTCGTAGGCGGCCAGCGCCTTTTCTTTATCTTTAATGACATCTGCCAAGCCTGAATTCGCAAGCGGCGGCGCGGGAGCTGGGGTGTACAGACAGCTCGCGCGCGCGGCGCGGGGGTGGAAAGCTGCGGAAAGCTGCGGAAAGCTGCGGCGTCGCGGAGTTTGGAGGGCGCAGAGGGGAAGAAAAAGGAAAATAAATGCGAAAGAAAGCAAAAGGAAGAAAAAAGACGGAGAAAAAGTGCTGCTTACCGTCCAATCTCTCCTGCGTTTGCTTGAGGCTGAGCGGCCACTCGTAGCAGCAGCCGCCGAAGACGCTGCTGACCTTGGTGATCTTTTCGTGCAGCAGCGACTGCGTGCTTCCTTGATGGTAAACGACGAAAACACTTTTTTGAACTTCTTGTCCGGACTTGGGGTCGCAGAAGGGCAGCTCGATGGACTGGAAGAAGCAGAAGGCGTTGCCGCGCGTGGCCCGGAAGAGCGTGCGCTGGAAGCGCGGGATTTCTGCTGCTGGCAGCACGCCAGCAACAGCAGACACAGCAGCAGTTGCTGCGGCTTTGCGGCCGAGCCCCAGGTCTTCCTCGGAGTTGCGCTGCTGCTGCTGCTGCTGCTGCTGCTGCTGCAGCAGCAGCGAGTTGGCGCCGCCGTCCTCGAGGTCGGAGAGCGCCTCGGGCGGCGGCGAGCCCGGCGGCGCGCGCGCTGCTGCTGCTGCTGCTGCTGCGCCGCCCTGCTGCTGCTGCAGCGCCACCCGCAGCACACACTGCTCCTCAAGAGCAGCATTTTTCTCGGATTGCAAACTTGAATTGTTGCTTTTGAACAGCACGAACTGTCCGTACAGCCGGTTCAAAGCTTCCTCCACTTTGTCCAAGACATAGCCTTGGCCGTTTTCGAGGAAGCTGCGTTCGCCGTCGGGGGCCACCACGACGAGCCCCTGCGGCGCTGCTGCTGCTGCTGCTGCTGCTGCTGCTGCTGCTGCTGCTGCGCCCGGGCCGCCCTCCAGGCAGCGGATTTCTTCCTGCAAAAACCTTATTATTCTTTCCATTTCTTCTATTCTTTGAATGTAATTGTTGTAAGGACGCACCAAAGCTGCTGCTTGCATGTCCACAAACTGCACAGCCCCCAGCCGCCCCAAACGCTCCAGCAGCTCGTGGGCCACCGGCAGCGAAGACGGCAGCACTATCGTCCCCCGCACCATCGGCTCGCTCCGCAAAGTCGACATTTTCCTGCTGCTGCTGCTGCTGCTGCTGCTGCTGCTGCTGCTGCGGGAGGGGGGGGCGGTGCTGCTGCTGCTGCTGCTGCTGGGGGTGGTGCTGGCGGTGGTGCTGCTGCTGCTGGGGGTGGTGCTGGCGCTGCTGCTGCTGCTGCTGCTGCTGCTGGGGGTGGTGGCGGCGGTGCTGCTGCTGCTGCTGCTGCTGCTGCTGCTGCTGCCTGGGGTGGTGGTGGCGGTGGTGCTGCTGCTACTGGGGATGGTGGTGGTGGAGGGGGGGAAGCTCCCGCGGACGCCGCTCCTGGGGTGGGCTGCTGCTGCGGGGGTGGGCTGCTGCTGCTGCTACGATCGCTGCTGCTGCTGCTGCTGCGATGGGCTGCTGCTGCTGCTGCTGCTGGGATGGGCTGCTGCTGCTGCTGGTGGGAGTGGAGACGCGGCAGCAACTAGCAGCAGCAAAAGCAAGAGAGGGCGGGAGGGCGTGGGCTGGCTTGCTGCGCGCGCACACAGCGGCAGCAAGAGCTGCTGAAAAGCCCCGGAGGACTGCAGCAGGGACCTTCGGCGCGCCGCTGCAGCAGCTGCTGCTGCAGCTGCTGCTGCCTAATCAGCGTTGCTGCAGGGCTTCCCCCCCGTTCAAAGCGCGCCGCCGGGCGCTGCAGCGCAGCCAGCGAACAGCCGCTGCAGCGGGAGAGGCGCTTCGCCCGCGGGCGCCTAAGCCGGCAATAAACAGCTTAAAATAACAATTTAAACAACTACTGCTGCGGAGCTTCGCAGCGGAAAAAGCGCAGCCAGCACGGCATCCTGCGCAGCTGCTGGCGCGCGTCCGCGGAAGTTGAACAGCTCAAACTCCGTGCGATTTCATGGCGAAAGGAAGAAACTTTGGACCTTTTTGGAATGCTTAAAAAGCGGCAAACCCGAAAACGCGAACGAATTCCTCGAAACCGCGGCCGGAGGCGGCGGATCGCGCAGCTGAAGAAGGAAATGCAGAAAGCTAAGCTGCAGCGGGCAGCAGAAGAACAGCCAGTGAGAGCGCCTGGGCGTTTTCGGTGGATCTACGCGCCAACAGAGCTTGAACAAAGAATATTGGAGCAAACATTCCTTTTTTAATTCCCTTTAAAGGGCCAATAAGGCGCGTTCGGCGGATGGGATTGCAGAAACGGCGGCGTATCGCCAGCGGCACGGGGAAGAGGCGTCGGGGCTTTGCGAGGGCGTTCAGCTTCGCTCTCCTCATTGTTTTTGTTTCTGAGAACTACTCGTGCAGTTTTCTCTTTATTTCCGCCTTTTTATTGCACTTTGCTCGGCGGACAGTCCAGGCCCTCCCCGCGTTTCTGCGGCGCTCCCCCTCCGAGCCGCTCTGCCGCCGCGGCTGCTGCGTTTCTGTCCTTCTTCCCGCGCGAACTTCGCCGCATTTGTCTGAATAGCGCCATTTATTTGTGCATTTAGGCAATTGGGTTCTTTTTCAATGTGAGGGAGGGGGGAGTTGCTTTCCCCAGCGCCTGATGTTCGCGGCTTCCTTCCCTCCCCAGGCGAGTCTGCCCGCTGGAGCTCCCAGCCCGGCTCTGGCCGATTCGCGCAAATAGTCTCAGAGGCAAAGACACGGACTGCGCAGAAGGCGCAGCACTGCCAGCAGCAGCAGCAGCAGCAGCAGCAGCAGCAGCAGCAGCAGCCTCTCCACAGCGTCTCACCGGCATGCGCGCTGCAGCAACCCCCGCCTTGTGTCTTTTCGACCTTTTAGTGTTTGAGGACCTCAGAAGCCTCCCCCCCCGCAGGCGCTCCCCCCCCAGCTCCTTCCACAGCAGCAGCAGCAGCAGCAGCAGCAGCAGCAGCAGCAGCAGCAGCAGCAGCAATGTTGATATACTTTCGACTGATATCGGAGCATGCAGGAACTTACCGCGAGTGCCCCATTGGGGGCCCCACAGTTAGTGTGGGGGAGTTGAAGCTGCTGCTGGCGCGTCAGTGCGGCTTTGCTGCAGACTATCGCCGGAAGATAGACTTGAAGATCTTCCTGGTTTCCTCCAAAAGCAGCAGCAGCAGCAGCAGCAGCAGCAGCAGCAGCAGCAGCAGCAGCAGCAGCAGCGGCGGCGGGGAGGGGCCGCAGGAGGAGCTGACGGAGGCGGAAGACGAGCAGCAAGTGCCGGCGTTTGCGAAGGTGGTGCTGCAGCGGCGGGTGCTGCGAGCAGCAGCAGCAGCAGCAGTGCTGCAGCACGAGGCCCGCAGCAGCTTGACTGCAGCAGAGTGGGGGGGGGCCCTGCAGCGGCGCGGGGGGGCCCCCAAGCCGCTGCTGCCAGCAGAATGGATTTGCTGCTTCTGCGGGGGCCCCATGAGGAGTCCGCTGCTGATAAAGTGTGCTGCTAACTGCGGCCACTCTGCATGCAGAACTTGCATAGAGCAGCAGCTGCAGCAGCAGCACGAGTGTCCTTTTTGCCACTCGGCTTTTCGGCAGCTCATCAAGAACAAGCGCCTCGAAGAAATGATCAAAAGTGTCAACTTGGCGGACTACGAGCTTCCTGCTGCTGCTGCTGCTGCTGCTGCTGCTGCAGCAGCAGGGGGCGCCGCTGCAGCAGAGGCGCCGCCCCAGCCGCCGCTTGCGGCGGGCGAGCTGCGCTTCAAGCAGCAGCAGCAGCAGCAAGCGCCAGCAGCAGCAGCAGCAGCAGCGAGTCGGCAGCAGCCGGGGGGCGCGGCAGCAGCAGCGGGGGGCCCCGCAGCAGCAGCAACGAAGCAAGAGCCCGGCCCCCGCAGCGCGCCGGAGGGCCCCCTAGCAGCAGCAGCAGCAGCAGAAGCAGCAGCAGCAGCAGAGCAGCAGCTGCTGCAGCAGCTGCTGCAGCAGCTGCTGCAGCAGGGGGCCCCTGGGCCTCCCCGCGGCACTTCATTTATTTGCTGCCAGCAAAAAACCTGCAGCTGATGCGGCAGCTGGACTTGATGGCAGTGGAAGCAGCATCGGAGCTTGCTGCTGCTCTTGCTGCAGCGTGCATGCGCGAGCCTGCTGCTGCTGCTGCAGCCAACGGCAGCGCAGCAGCAGCAGCAGCAGCAGCAGCAGCAGACTTCCTCGGCCCCTGCGGCGCAGCAGCAGAAGACTTGCTGATTGTTCCTTGCTGCCTCTCGGGGGGCTCTTCTTCTTTTTCCGTCGGAGGCTTCATCCGACTCCGAGCAGCAAACAGGGTACAGTCTTCGGACCCTGCCTATTCCCAGCTCCTTTCCCACTGGCTCACTCACCAGGGGGCCCCCCCGGGGGCCCCCCCGGGGGGCCCCC